AAATACATTTTACTTTGAAAGATCAGTTTCAAGTTCAATGTCCGCCAAATCGTTTATGAACATTTAGCAGGTTAGTGGTTTAAATTGACTAACAGTTGAAGTTTCCGGTATATTTGACAACAATGTCAATAACATGATATGAGAAACAAGTAAGGCCGAAGTTAATGTATTGCCTGTTGTGATTATTGTAAATCCTTTTTTACGGACACTGAAATCAAAATTAGTTTTTGTCTTCTTATGTTGTTTAATTCTTCTTAAATATTTCATGTCCGTTTTTCACATTTAACTGAGTTTTTTAAGTTGATAATAAAAGTGTTTTGTTTCTGAGGCCAGATGCTCGAATAATATGATTTTATTAAAGTCGTTCAATAATTTTTGTATCTGACCTACACTGATCCAATTAACTTTGTATATTTCACTTGTGGCTACTGCCATTCATGGAATTGTTTTTTTTAAACCAATGGATGAAAATGCATTTATAGAAAAAAAACTTTAATACCCCCTATATCCATAAGGAATAAGTTATCTTATAACATGGCATAGAGTGTAAAATAACTCCTATTAATTAGCTGAAAAATTTAGATTAAAAGTCTAGACAAACTTATTGGTTATTTATATCACTGAAAGTAAAAGAAAAGTGTTCATATTTGTCATAAATTTGCAAAAATGTCCAAATTATTCTAATTAATATTTATTAAGTACATTGCTCAATGTTAAAAGTTCAAGACAAGTTAAATTGATTAAGCTTATACATTGTTAGTACAACAACACAAATAAAACAAGCGAAACAAGAGTATTAACATTTAAGAGCATTATTGAAATTCATGTCATAAAAAACAAACAACAATCATAATGTGCTCAAAGATATATAATTGGTAGAAAAATAAGGACAGACTTTGTAATATACGACAGACGTTATAGAAATATTTACTTTTCATCTGGTGAATATGATTTGATTTGTTCTGAAAAAAACAACAACAACAAAAAAAACACAAAAAAAACACACACACATTTATAATGACCAAGGCGATAGCCGAAGTCAATTTTAAAATTCAGGCCAAATCATATTCAAAAACATTAAAGTACATTTTTCTTAATATAATTCATAAATTGTTTTCACATGGCTTATCAAATCTTCTTCTGAATACGACTCATATCTACATTTCTTAAGATTGTTTTCTTTCTTTTCATTTTGTATATTGGGCAAAAAATAAAAATTTAAAAGACAGAAATAACACTAAATTCGTAACGTTTCTAAATGCACATACATATTCAACAACATTGCAAACTTTAACATTAATTTATGAATTTGCCAACGTTTCGTCAGAATTATAACGTGTGACGTCAAATCATGTACTCGCGTCTTTAAGCTGACGGCTGTTGCCCAGAAAATATATTTTAGGAAAAATAATCTATATTTAGGCATCATCAATGAATACACTTTGATGTTGTTCTGTTATTTTTTTTACAAAAAGTTACGTCTAAAGCAATCAGGGGAAGGCATTTCAAAGCTATTCATAGATTATAATATTCCAAAAACTGATTTGTATAACAAACGCTTATTTTGTATCTATAATAATTTACATTTTATATCTGAGGTTTCAAATAAAACTCATGTATTTTTTTTATCAATATAGGTTGTTTATTTTTTCGTTATAATTCATGATTCGATCACAATTATTTAATACTAAACTCGGTTACAAACATTTTAAAATTCGAAAGAAAACTCCTATTTGCATGTTTTCATTTTCTCTATTTAATCTGAATTTCAGCGCACGATTGTTGTACGGCTACGTATCGACAAACAAGTAGATAACAGCCCACAGGTGAATAAAGATGTAACCCTAGTACAGGAAATATTACAAACAGTTTTATTGATCACTCTTTTCTACTAATATCTCTTTGATGTAACTTTTTTTCTTCTTTTTTCTTCAAGCGTATTCATCAATATTGTTTTGTCTATTAACAACTCTCTCATTTAGAAACCGGTATACGTTCCGCAGTAACTGTTTTCTGAATTATAGTGCAAATCAAAGGTTCAACTTTTGATAAAAAGTTGTAAATTTGACACTAGCTCTTATATTTGGAAAACAACAATTAATATTCGTCTTCTGCACTATTTCGTCGGCCCCTTGTAGTTTATTTTTTTGCTGCTCTGCCCTCCATTTAACCACTAAGTACTTAATGGTCATTGTACATATCCACATGATCATTTAGGAGTTTTAGTTATTTCATTGTCTGTAGATATATCAATTCATAGAATTCAATATTGCGGTGAATCATATTATATACACTATTTTGTAACATGTAAGTGCTAAGAGTGTGGATTGTTGCACCAATAACCGGTTTAAACTCCTCATTTAATTTCAAATAAGTGTTTTTGCAATTGATTATTCGGAGGAAATCTTGTTTTACATAATGCATATGTTTTGTATCAGCGTTCCAATTTCTTTTCTCCTTGTCGATAAGTATTTCCTCTCCTGCAAGAGATTTGTTTGTATTTAACCAATCTCGAGTCCGTTTCTTAGACTAATCACTGCTAAAAAATACACAACTATGAAGCAATAAAAGCATTGTATTGTTTTGACTCTTTCCTAAAAACACGTTTCAATTATATATAAGTATAATTTCGTTAACATCCTTACGCATGGAGGGATACTTAAATATTGGTTAAGACTTTTTTCTCAATCACAGTATTGTATTTTATCATTGAATAGTCATCAAATGTCAAGGCCCATCCTTGTTTGCCATCTGATTCATTCGCTGATTTTGATTGTGAAGATAATGTTTACATACTAATTTTGAGAATGAGAATGCATCTCTATATAGGTATGCAGTGTCACGATGACATTATATATCACTTAATGTTCTGCAAAGTTTACTCTTCTGCAGCAATAGATTTAAATGACATTTTCCTAATGAATTTGCCGTCATTGCATTAAATACGGAAAGCTTCGGAGTTTCATTATATTAATATAGACTGATACATTATTTTTTTTCCATTTCATACCGGTGGTTTAGAATAAATATTCTTGAAAAAAAACTATACTGTCAGAAGTTGATTGGATTAACGTTAATACCTGAAGATTCAAGTTAAACATTGGGAAAAAATCAACAAATACAAAACATATATACATTATATGATTGATTATTATGATTGATTATTATTTTGAAAAAATGTCATTTTTTTTAAAATAACTGCATGTTTAACAAAGTATAACACATTTCATTTCAAGCATGTTTAACAGGAATCAACGTATCATGCTAAAATTATTTATTTATCCCTGCCTTATTTTCTTTTATATATATGTTAAGTTTAGTTGATATATTACAACCTTAAATTTTCACAACAACATTTTATTCAATTTTGTTATCAATGCAAGTACATGTAAGAGTGTAATTTTTAGCATCAAATGAGAACGCTGTATTTCTTTAAAAATGTATTTTATTTAATAGAAGAATAAAAGTTGATACAAGATCAAAATTCGTTCATAGTCGCCTTCTATTTTTCATACAGCTTCATTGACGTAAAAAAGTTAATATGTAAATGAAGCCAAATAAAGCTGTAGTATTCGTCCGTAGCTGTTTTAAAATTAGAAACGTTCTCCTGTCGCTATCGCTTCCGTCGAAGATTTTAATTTATGTAGAACAGCGTGATTGAACACTGTCATATACTTAAAACTTAAGTTTTATCACTATTACAGTAAGATATTTCAAACTAGAATCAAAATTAGTCAACAGCTATTTTTCTGGCATAATTAAAAGTAATGTCTACAAAAGATAACGAGATACATGAGAGGTCAGAGTAACTGGTGTTAAATAAATGTACAATGACCCCTTAATCTTCTTGCTGAGGTCAAAATATATACTGTCAATAATGTTCTTCTATTTTCTGTTCAATTACTGTTCAGTTTTTTTTTTTTTTTTTTTTTTTTTGGGGGGGGGGGGTGGGGGAATAGGGATCTGAAACTCTCCGTTTATTCATTTATTTGCTTCACACATCATGACATTGTTCCAAACTGATCATGATATTTTATTTGCAAATGATATGGTGTGAAATGGTGTGATGGTATTTACTGTTAAAATATTGCTGAATAATCTAATATGGTTAAAGCATTAAATAGAGATAAACAACGTTGTCCTCCAAATTTTCGAAACAAAAATGGAATAACATTAATTCGTTCAAGAGAAGAAAAACTCAAAAGAAAAGAAGCAGACACTAGCAAAACGATTTTCTAACTAATCCTTATAATAATTATACAGAAAGTAAACTTTTAATAGCGACCAGGAAAATAGATCACAATTGATTCATAAAGTTTTGGAAAATTCATTTCATGTACATTGCTGATTATTACGAAACATAGCTTTTTTTAAATTTTTCTTGGAAGGGCTTTAATCAATTATATTTTAATAAATGCTTTCCTAATTGTGAGTATTGTGTTAATACAATACTCCCCTACCGATTAATTTGCCTGGTAATTTGCCTGGTAACCGCCTCCGTGGTCGAGGGGTTAGAGTCGATGACTTCTAATCCAGTTACCTCTCTGGCGTGGGTTCGATCCCCGGGAGATGCTTTGGTAGTTTAGCGCGGAGGAAGGTAGTCTAGTACTGGTGTAACTCTCCAGAAACGATGGTTAGGAAACTACTTGCCTATATGACTGAAATACTGTTGGAAAAGGGCGTAAAATGAAACAAACAAACAAAATTGCCTGGTGTACAGCCGCTAGATATTGTAAAATTTATATCACTGGAGTGTTGCGTGGATCACTGACTCAGATGTCAGAGATCGTATTTGAAGCAAAGTAGGTATGCCTAACTTACCTCTGATACTTAAAGACGTTCAGCAGCTATATAATATGAGTTCTAGGCATGATTAGTAAATGCCTTGCGTCAACTGGTTCTTCCTATTGTCGGAAATTTTGAAAAGTAAGTACAGAGCCTTCTTATAAAACGTCTAACTGGAAAGTTCTCCAGAACATTTAATGTAACACAAAACAAAGGTTTTTGTACAAAATTTATTTCATGTCATTATTTTATGTTCTTTTTTTTAGATCATAACATAAATTCCTCATCGTATATATTTTAACCAATAATTTCTGGTTCTCTTGCAGGCCTGAAAATATTTATATATGCATGAATATTACAGGTGAGATTTTTCTTAGTGCAAAATTATTTCTCCGATATTTCTCCATAAAGAAAATTAACTACATTAAATTTATAGATTTATGACTTGTAAACGAAATAGAGACCAAATCTTTTTCAATAAGTGACATATATACACTCGAATTTGTGTGTTCTAAAACTTAATGGTTTAAAATCAATGGCGTTGAAGGACCAGCACAATATAGCACTAATGTCAAGAACGTGTCAATTTTTAACATCTACCATGATCCCTGTTGAGAAGTATAAAAATATTGAAACGGGATGAGGTAAGTTGCATACCACGAACAAAGTAATCTAAGGGAAATGTCCGGGATAGGGCCGCGTGGCATGGTCGCATGAGAGGCCTTATATTGCCGAAAAACTTTTAATCCTTACCGAGATAACATAAAAACTTTTATGACAGAGGGCTCTAAAAATGATGCTTTTTTACGAAAATTTGCAAGTTTCACATGCAAAAAGAGCCAATTGCCGGTTTAAAAATCAACTATACCATTTGCTAGAGCTTTGTGTTTTATGAAACCATGGAAACAAACCTCTATACCTCTGGCTTACCCGGAACGGAATTAGGAAATTGATTATATGACGTTGGATTCTAGGAAATGGAACTTTTCCCGAAAATTTGAAAATTTAATATACAGAAAGAACAAATCGCTCATATAAAATTAAACAATGCGATTCGTGCCTCTTTTTGTTTTTTTCCAACTGCTAGATCCTTTTGCATTATATTGTCATAATAACGAACTTTTACGAAACTGGTATTGCAGTTTATTCGCAACAGAATTTGACAAATGGTTACGAAAATTACAAAACTGTATTTACTGTATTAACAAATCGCAAATCCAAAAAGGGACCATACATTGTAGGCCCCTCACACCCATTACAAGTATTGTCGTAGAAACGAACATTTTAACATTTGCTGTGGCTGACCCTCAACGTTAACGAAATCAGACAAATGGTTATGCTCCAGAAATTTGCCGTAATCACTTTGCATTTAAACTGATATTTTTTATTAGAATACGATTCTTTTATGATCTTTCTTCAGACATAATTTATTTTGTACAAATCAATATAATATTTTGGTTGGAAAACTAGTACTCGCCTTTTTTCGCATAAGGCCTTGAACGATGCTGAACATGCGTCGTCTGTCCATTCGTAGTGGTATTCAGCTCGCATTGCAACACAGTTACCGGATTTCCCATTGTTCGGCTGTCCAGGTAACCAGTTAAAGTATGTAGCAACTGTATCAGTATCAGACCATTTCCAAATACCATCCGTTACTTCGTCTGTCAACCCAATCCAATGAATGTCGTCTGCTCCAATCAGTGTAAAATGTTAATAAATATTTTTTTATGTAAAGCAATTTCATGATTTGATAAATATAAACAGGAATAAAATTCTGTGCTACATATCTATACACGTTGAAGTCACTGTTTTTAATCTGACAGGTCAACAAAATAACAGGCACGAAACGGAACAAATAATTTAGAAATTAGAGACACAAAATATACTTTAAATAGTATGGAATCTGAAAATGATGCATTCTTTTTAACTCACTACATTTCCACAACCCATATATTAGTGAAATTGTTTGTGAAGATCAATTGCTTATTGTGTTATTAATGCAAACAAAGAGAGCGATACAATCCATCAGAAAAGCACATATATGTAAATTTCAATTTATCATATACATGTACCTTCAATAAAATACTTACATGAATTTGAACGAAACAATATGATAGACGTACCATCTAATTATTGTTATGTTATGTCATGCTTTAAATACACATGACGTCGGCAAATATACCTGCCATTTGAACAACGGTCGACTTATTAATTTTGAAACAAAAAACGAGTCAGATTAAAATTTTGGAAACATTTTTTAATTTCATTATGAAATAATATCCATTACTATTATTTCAGTATTATTTATTGACTTGTTAAGTGCAGTTACTTTAATGTTATAACCTGTATGACGGAACTAAACATAAATATACTCTGGTTTTTTCCCCAGTATTCGGCTGGTTCTAGAAACACGGATATAATACATGTAATATACGCAAGTAGTCGGCCATTTTGTTTGACATTTTACATTGGTTTGTCAATGATTTGTTTTGTTTGTTTCATTTTACGCCTTTCTCAACAGTATTTCAGTCGTATAGGCGGGTTTCCTAACCATCGTTCCTGGAGAGTTACACCAGTACCATACTACCTTCCTCCGCGCTAAACTACCAAAACATCTCCCGGGGATCGAACCCACGCCAGAGAGGTAACAGGATAAGAAGTCATCGACACTAACCCCTCGACCACGGAGGCGGTTCGTTTTGTCAATGAATATCAAGTCTTTAATACGGAAACGGATTTTCGTTTTTTTTCAAAATGTCTGTGTATTCACGAGAAAACTTATGGGATACAATAAAGTGAAATACACGTGATATTGTGTCATCTTCCCTTTAACTTTAATAAAATAGAGAAAAACCTTTTAAATCGCCCAAAAAGCTCTTCAAGAAGATATTTTCTATGGCATCATTGATGTGTACAACATAAGCGCCGTGATGTTCACAGAAACGCTGAAAATGAATATGCACATTTTATTTCAAATTTAAAAGTAAGTATCAAGCTCTTAAAAATTGTATCATTTATTGTACTGTGATTTGATTGTAGATATTAACAATTTGCCTACAAAACGAATCTGGCAGAATAAATATGTTGTTTTATAGAAATACCACAAAATATGAAGAAATTCATAAGGCTTATATGTATTCATATTTACCTGTGCTTCAATAAAATGCAAGTTATCGTGTCCAATCAAATAGCAAGAGCCTTGAAAGGCTAACCAGTTGTCCTCGCATGGTGTCGTTTTCCCACATATTACTTCTGAAAAAATAAGTAAACAAATATTAATCGACTCTGTTTATATTTCGCTTTATTTTAATAAGTTTCCATTATGTAACATTATTTAGTAAGAATATATTTGTCTTAACTAGAAGCAAGTACATAATCACAATTTAACATTCCTGCAGCCAAAACGCTTAACACTAAAAACGGTTGTATATATTTCTTCATTCCTTGATTTATTTTCGACTAGTGTAAATGATACTAAATTGTCAAATTTATCATCGCTACACTAGGTCACTTCATTTTTGTTAAGATAAGAGAAATGATAAAGGAATCAAAGTTCTTACTGCACTACTAAGGCGCTTTTGATAAGATACTTTGTCATTGGGGTTGGAGAGGATGGGAGGCATGTGCAAAACTACTCTGTTCTACATTTTGGCCTTCTCAAGATTACTTTTTCATGCTACTCCAATCTACTTACCATTGATTTTTATTTATGCGATTTTGTTAAAGCTAGACAATGATTCGTATGTATAAGAAAAAAATATGATGAATATTTAAGTATTTCTATAAAAAATTACAAATGATGTTTATTTTAGGAAACGACGAAATGATATAAATTAAATGGATCTTAATTAAACCTTACAACGTTTTAGATTCATTGCTAAGAACGTGCGACAGGTAAAGACTTGTTGAAATTGATGATTGTATTTGAAAAGTGATACAATAATTCATAGTATCTGCATATCCGTTAGGAATACTTAATTCATTACACAGGGCGTGCATGGTTAAGATCACGCGCCCCTCAACGCTGTAAGTTCTAATCCCGACAGTGACTTTGGATTTTTAGTGTGAGGAAAGTATCTAGCCAGCTACTGAACGTCTGTGGTTCTATCCAAGTGCCTGTTTGTGCATGAAATAATACACAGTAGGACACCTTAAGTCTTCCTCCATTTGTAAAGCTGAAAAGTCGCCATATAACATTTACAGTGTTGGTGCGACTTAAACCCAAACATTTTTTTCCTGTCATGAAGGCCAAATTCGCTCCAACAAAATGAATTTATTGTCTGGATTGTTTTATATTCGAAGTCTAGACATTGTTTTAATAAAAGTGACAATAAGAAAAAGTTGTTTAAGACATATCTGCTATTAATTTGTCAATCTGTCCAAATACATATTTTGAACAAAGTACATTTCCCAATATTGATTGCTCAAAACATGTTAAACGATTAAAGGCTTTTGCATTGTTTATACGACTACACTTAGAAATTGTTATCAGCGACACAAAGTGTCCAGAAGTTGACAGAATTTACGTTTTTCTTTTGTTCCTTTTCTAAAGCCTATTTACATTAGAGCTGCTAATAAATGAAGAGTTTAGTCTATTTTACTGTATAGATGTTGTATTGATATTAAATGTTGTGCATGAAGTAAATGTTTGCTGAACTTAAGTATATATTGTGTATGCGTGTTTTCATTACAAAAGCTTACCGGTTATTTTTATTTACTTTTATATTGACATGTTAGGGTCCAAATAAATCGCAAGAACTTTAAATTTATAGATCAATAAAGAAAGTTTTGTACTTTGTATATATTTAATGTTCTTCTAGATTTTATCAATAGAGTCGATTACAGGCGCTTTTCGATACGAACGGAATGTCATTTTAGCGTGTTTGTTTGAAGTGAACATCATTCCAGTGAATGTTTGTTGTTGAGCTTTGTATCGACAAACAAGAAAATTACAGCTCACAGAGGAACTAAGATGCTATCATGGCGGAGATTTCATTTCTGTTTTTTACAAGGTTTTAATCTCCTACCATGTATAATGTCTTTTGATATTGTCCTCTAATTCATTAGCTAATGTTTCAAACACTTTTATTATTATTTTGTCTTCGATTATATTTAGTAAGAAGCACCTTGATCGTGAGAAACAGCAAGATGAAACAATGATGTTTTCTATTTGCACTCATGTCCGCACCACATGTAAACCCTGCTGATACTTGTCTGTAATGAAAGCAGTATTTTTTCGCCACCACTTTTATAATGGGTTTATATTTTTTGTAAATGCTGTGTTTATAACCGACTCACATGTTTCCTCTTATTTCAAGGATTTATACCAATGGCACCGACTGACATCAACGAAACACGGACTTTGGTTACAGTACAACAATCCATTCTTTTAAATAATGAACTTTTTTAAAATAAATGATCTGTTTGATGATTTCAAATAAAGAACACTGCCGTTGGACATACCGATTCGTTCTTTTATAGTCAACATCTATGTCAATGAAATGTGGAAATCTTTTTATTTGTCATTCAATGTATCTGTAAGAATTTGACATATAGAGGTACCATTTTGATAAAATGTTCGTTTAATTATAGGCTTCATGAAGGCAACAATAGACCAATTTGATTAAGATGCTACAATATAATTACATTCAAGACATTAATCTGTTAAAACAATTAAGTTTCTATTTATACGGATCCAATTTATCTTAATTAAACGAGATAATAGTGGAGTGATTTTCTTAGTTCAATTACTGTTCTAATAGGTTAAGAAAGGATTAGTCAGAATTGTAAACAAATGATTTCAAAAGAATCTGACGACATTAATATTTAAAATTCTCCTTAATAATTAGAATCATTTAAGTTTTTTTATCTATTTTTTTATTTCACTCGGAATAGTTCGTTAAGACATTTTGTTGTTGACTTTGAATCTTGTTTAGCAACATGAGCACATGCTTAAACATGATTTAATTTAATGTTCCGCTTATTTTGTTTTTCAAAATTCGTTTTTCATTTTAAACATACACGACGATATTTCGACACTTAATTATAGTTTCATTTTATCCATTTTATACCTTCAAAAATTAATGGCTTTCATTTCTGTGCTCTTATATTGCATAAAGTATAGTTTTTATTTTATTTTCATAACATAATTTGATCAATTTCCTCTATCTCCTTGTGCGTGTCTTTGAAATTTTAAGACCAATGGAAGGGCGAAAAGATTTTTTCCTAGATCTTCATTATTTAATTTAATTCCTTGCTTATTCGTTTACGAAATTTATTATCAAATCATTTCAGTCACGAAGAATAACTGTATAGCCTGTTGTGGATAAAAAATTACAATCTTGCCGTTTGAGAATAGCTTTTGACACTATGATCGCAAGATTATTTACGTTAACTTTGTTATACAAGAGACAGATAATTTGCAAAATATTCTCTGTCGTCACCATAAAATGATCAAGTATAATAGAGAAAAAACAGAATCCCTAAAGAAAGTCCAACACGACAAAATTGAAAATGTTGCAGGCTCGGTTTGATTGAGACTGCTCATGGACGGCACAAATAACACGGATGAGACAATAAAATAGAGAAAAACAGAATCCCTTAAGAAAGTCCAACACGACAAAATTAAAAATCCCAAAGATACGTTCAAATATAAACTGTTTAGATAAATATGGACATCGATCTTGAAACTATTTGAAATTTTCATCTGGAAAAGTTGTGGTCTATCAAAACCAGTGAAACTACCAATCATATGAAGATTGCAGACTTAGTTTGAATGAGTCTATTTATGAAAGACACTGTAAAAGTACAACATTTGTCACGGTCGGTAGTGTTTGTATTCAGCTTTTATGATAAAATAATGAAAAACATAATCCAAAATAACACAAAAAACGGCAAAATTTGAAATGTTGTAGTAATTGTAGTACCGACATGAGCAGGAGATGAAAATTGCGTTATTTTGAATGTATAATGATATGCAGATTTGTTAAGATCCACGCTGGGAAGATTTTCTTCTGATGGAAATCATCGAGTTTGTTGTTGGTTTGGATGCTATTAAGCACTAGTGTCATATTTCAACAGGGAAGGGGAGAGTCTTTAAGAGCAATGAAAATAAAAGCAATAGAAATAATGTTCAAGTAAAAAATGCTGACTGTACATTGAGGCAATAATACACGTAGCATTTGCTGTTTTAAGAAGAAAAAAATAAACCTTAAGACGTTAATTATCTAACGTTGGACAATACAATAAAAACGGTCGAATGTTGTGTATAAGGACCAAACGTACATTCTTTTTCTCGTGGTTAAATAACTGATACTTTAGCATAAAAAACTAAGTCACAATCCCTAAAATAAAAAGCGAGAAATTTATAGAGAATGTATTCTGAGAAATAATAATATCAACACGTTGTATAAAATTACTGATAACATTCTTGCACATTTCTGGGGTGACTTTCTTCATTTCCCGTTTATTAGCGATTTTGAGTTCATTGGTTGACTTTGGAGGAGGTGTGTACACTCGTTCTTTCAAATATCCCCAAATAAAAAAGTCAAGTGGGTTAAGGTCGGGTGAATGCGGTGGCCACTCGTATTCCGTGCGGTATCTGCCCAAACGTATCATATAGCCACTGGGTTGCATCTCCTGCTATGTGTGGTGTTGCTCCGTCCTGCTGAAACCAGATCTTATCAATATCAAAACTATTTCTCCTCAAAGCAGGGATAAACTTTTTTTCAAAATAGTCAAATACCGGTCTTTATTAACAGTAGCAACATTGCCGTTGTCCTAAAAAAAGAATGGACCGATAACTCCGTCAATGCTAAGAGCAGCCCCCCATACCGCGACCCTCTCGCCATGAAGCGGCTTTTCAATGTAAAATTCTGGCTTTGTAGTTCCCCAGTACCTGCAGTTCTGCTTATTAACTTCAACATTGAGATAAAAGTGAGCTTCGTCTGAAAACCAAACTTTGTCAATAATGTCGTTTTGAGAATTTATCCGTTGTGCAAACGATAGTCTACTCGAAATGTCATTGTCTTTCAGATGTTACATAATGGAAATTTGTATGGTGTTAATTCTACTTCAAATTTCAGCATTTTGTATACACTCGTTGAGCTTGTTGAGTTTGTAATATCCCCTAGAACACGTCTTACTGACCTTTGAGCCGTTTCATTGATGACCGCTTGCACTTTCTCAACATTGGCGTCAGATCGTGCCGATCGTGGTCTGCCGGGGTTGCAGTGCCGCCTGTCTTCAATCGACCTTGACTTTTCAAAACATTTCACGATTCGCTGTATTGTATTTTCATTGAGTTTTCCAAGATCTGGATGTGATCTTTTCATCTTTAACTTTACCGTCTTTAATGATTTTGTTTGAAAATATAGTGGACAATTTCTGAACATTGTTCCTTAGATGGCGCCATCTTGGGAAAACAAGAAGTCAGTAAATGACGTCATAAATAGTTTTGGTTCATATAAAAGATTCACCAAAGACCACATATTTATCTGATCTTTTT